CTTGGCTGCTAACCATAAGGTCGGTGGTTTGAACTCACCAGCTTCTCCGTGGGAGAAAGAAGTGACAGACTATTTCTACAAAGATTTACCACCTTGGAAACCCTATGGGGCAGTTCTGCGCTGTCCTATAGGGTCACTATGAGTCAGAATCCACTCTATGGCAATGGGATTTTTTGGGTTTTAGACCTGAACTGAACTTCTGTGAGGATGAGGCAACAGGTTCCCTACCCAGGAGCAATACCCAAGAGGTTAACAGAGGCTCCTGATTCTCAGAAGCTGCAGAAGACAAGAGTCAGCACCAAGAAAGCCACAGTGGTGCTGGCGCTGTATCTGACCCAGCACAAGGACACTATGAGCAGGGATGGGAAGAGAACCCCTGGGAGATGACTGACACAAAGTAAACAGGTGACTTCTCTGAGCATTCCTTGTCGACCACAGTAATGGCTTGCCCCTTGACCTATGGAAGTGAAGAGTTTCCTTATGTTGACAAGTCTGAGAAATTTTCTGGAAAGGAGAAAATCTGCCAACAAACTTTCAAGGATAATACAGATGAAGCAAGTTACAAATGGCAAGGCTGACAGAATCCCACTTTGAGGACCAGCTATGAGATGAGGTACAGACCTCAAAATGATGGGATAATAACTTTTGTTCTTTAAAGCGACCCACTTGAGGTATTTTTTGTTATAACAGGACTAGGTGCTAAGAGGGAGAACGATTTGACAATATATAAAAAGTTCACATTGTGTATATACACTTGGAGTCACTAAACTTATATGCAGAAATTTAATAGTTTCAGAAATGCAAAATGACAAATGACAAGGTTTTTACTGCAGTATCATTAAAAAACTATAGAAATGACTCAAATATCACTCAGTAAGAAAGTTCTCATGTACTGATATGAAAGCTCTCCAAGCTATTCAAGTAGTAAAAACTAAGACATAAAATATAGCAGCAAATACAGCCTACAATGTTTTGTGTAAAAAAAAAAGTTGAGAAGTAAGAACGTGGATTCATGTATGCTGGTATTATCATAAAGAAACAATGGAAGAATATATAATAATTAATAGAAAATACTTCTCTGTGGACTGGCCACAGATATCAGGGCAGATTATGAAGAGAGGTGAGAGTAAGACTTTTCACTCTATATCTTTTATAGAGTTTAAAAAATTTTGAACCCTCAACATTGTGAAAATGTCAATTCTACAGATATAATACAATCTACAGATATAATACAATCTACAGATATAATGTAATCTGCAGATATAATGCAATCCTGATCCAAATACCAATAGCACTCTTTAAAGAGATGGAAAACTGAATCATCAACTTTATATGGAAAAGAAAAAGCCTCTGGATAAGCAAAGCATTACTGAAGAAAAAGAACAAAGTAGGAGATCTCATACTACCTGATCTCAGAACCTACTATACAGCCACAGTAGTCAAAACAGCCTGCTACTGATACAACTACAAACTCATAGACAAATGGAACAGAATTGAGAACTCAGATGTAAATCCACCCACCTATGGTCAGCTGATCTTTGACGAAGGATCAAAGTCCATTAAATGAGGAACAGGCTTGTTAACAAATTGTGCTGGAAAAACTGTATGTCCATCCATAAAAAAATGAAACAGGACCCATACCTCACACCATATAAAAAAAAAATGGATCAAAGACCTAAACATAAAACCTAAAACAATAAAGATCATGGAAGAAAAATTAGGGACAATGCTAGGGGCCCAGTACATGGCATAAATACAATACAAACCATAACTAACAATGCACAAACACCTGAAGATAAACTAGATAACTGAGAGTTCCTAAAAATTAAACACTTACGCTCAGCAAAAGACTTCACCAAAAGAGGAAAAAAGAGAACCTCCAGACTGGGAAAATTTTTTTGGCTATGACATATCCAACAAGGGTCTAAATTCTAAAATCTGTAGAATACTTCAACACCTCAACAACAAAAAGACAAATAATCCAATTAAAAAATGGGCAAAGGACATGAACAGACACTTCACCAAAGAAGACATTCAGACAGCTAACAGACACATGAGGAAATGCTCGTGATCATTAGCCATTAGAGAAATGCAAATCAAAACTACAATGAGATACTGTCTTAGTCATCTAGTGCTGCCATAACAGAAATACCACAAGTGGATGGTTTTAACGAAGAGAAGTTTATTTCCTTACAGTCAAAGTAGGCTAAAAGTCCAAATTCAGGGCATCAGCTCCAGGGGAAGTCTTTCTCTCTCTGTCGGCCTTCTCATCAGTGTTCCCCCAGACTAGGAGCTTCTCTGCACAGGGACCCCGGTCCAAAGGACGCGCTCTGCTCCCAGCACTGCTTTCTTGATGATATGAGGTCCCCCTGTCTCACTGCTCACTTCTGTCTTTTATATCTCAAGAGATTGCCTCAGGACACAGTCCAGTCTTGTAGATCAGGTCCTGCCTTACTAACACAACTGCCACCCATACTCCCTCATTAACATCATAGAGGCAGGTTTACAACATACAGGAAAATCACATAGTACCAGGAATCACGGCCTAGCCAAATTGATACATACATTTTTGGGGGGACATAATTCAAACCATGACAGATACCATCTCACCCCAACGTTAATGGCACTAATAAAAAAACAGAAAATAGCAAATGTTGGAGAGGTTGTGGGGAGATTGGAACTCTTATGCACTGCTGGTGGAAATGTAAAATGGTACAACCACTATGGAAAATGATATGGCACCTCCTTAAAAAGCTAGAAATATAAATACCATACAATCCAGCAATCCCACTCCTAGAAATATATCCTAGAGAAATAAGAGCTGTCACAAGAATAGACATATACACAGCCATATTCATTGCAGCATTATTCACAGTAGCAAAAGATGGAATTAACCTAAATTCCCATCAACAAATGAATGGATAAACGAATTATGGTACATACACACAATGGAGTACTATGCAATGATAAAGAACGGTGATGAATTCGCAAAACATCTCACAACATGGATGATTCCATAAGGCATTATGCTGAGTAAAATAAGTCAATTACAGAAGGACAAATATTGCACTGTATTATAAAAACCCCAGAAAAGCTTTACACACAGAAAAAAAAACAATGTTTGATGGTTACTAGGGAGGGGAAGGATGAGGAGGGGAAATCACTAACTAGATAGTGTTAACTTTGGTGAAGGTAAAGACAACACACAATACAGGGAATATCAGCACAACTTGACCAAGGCAAAGTCATAGAAGCTTCCTAGACACATCCAGAGACCTTGAGGGACCAAGTTAGTGGGGCTGAGGGCTAGGGACCATGGTCTTGGGGGACATCTAAGTCAACCGGCATAACAAAGTTGTTATGGATTGAATTGTGTCTCCCCCAAAAATGTATGTCATCTTGGCTAGGCCATGATTCCCAGTGTTGTGTGATTGTCCACCATTTTGTCATCTGATGTGATTTACCTATGTGCTGTAAATCCTACCTCTATGATGTTAGTGAGGCAGGATTAGAGGAAGTTATACTAATGAGGCAGGACTAGATCTACAATATTAGGTTGTATATTGAGTCAATCTCTTTTAAGATATCAAAGAGAGAAATGAGAGAGATGGGGCCAAGATGATGGAATAATCAGATGCTTCCTGTCTCCCATCTTACAACAAAGACCCAAGAAAACTAGTGAATCCATTATATATGACCATCTAGGAGCCCTGATCATCAAAGATAAAGTTGAGGAGTCAGACTGCACGGCAAGGGGAGGGAGAGACAGTTCAGAAGCAGCAAAGAATTGCCAGTCTTGAGGTAGCCAGCACCCTGAGGGCTGGGTTGGTCAGTGCACATGGGCTGAAGTGAGCAGTAGTGCTTGGGAGGGGTTTCACCAAGTCAGGAGAGACTGGGCAGCAGAGAGTCTGAACAAGCCTCTGGAGCCAGGGGGAAGCAGTGCTGGATCTGTGAAAGTTTAAGTGTGTCTAACCTACCAAGCGGGATCAAAATAACCCCTCCCCTTCTGGGACTTTTGCAGTGAAGAAGTGCCACTTTCCCCTCACCCAACCCCCTCCCTGTTCCGCTGGTTACACCAGTCTGCAGTATTCAACAATTGCCAGGCCCCCTAAGCTATTGTGCTGAGACCAGTCTCTTGGCTTTACGGAAAAAAAAAAAAAGAAAGCCACCAAGTCACCAAGTCGCCTACGCAGGAAACTCAGGGCAGGCACTGCCCTTTTGCCTAGGCACTGGCATAAGGGACCAAGGACTTCTAACACCCTTCACCCCTGCCTAGATCTGTGTGGGTGGAGTCTACAGCTTAGACCCTCATTAGCGTAGAACAACAGGGTATATACCTGAAGCCTGTATTCAACTGCAGCAGCCAAGGAGGAATTGCAGATTCGTGACATTTGACCCTGCCCTGTCCATTATGCAGGGTCCTCACCCACCCATGTCAAGGGCCTGAGGGCTGGTGGTTTCACCCATTCCATTTAACCACCCACAACAGGGGTCTGAGAATAAGTGGTGCCTCCAAGACCTTGGGAAACCCTAGTGGCATAGTGGTTAAGAGCTACAGCTGTTAACCAAAAGGTTGACAGTTTGAATCCACAAGGTGCTCCTTGGAAACTCTACTGGGCAGTTCTACTCTGTCCTATAGGGTCGCTACGAATCGACTCCACAGCAACGAGTTTGGTTGTTTTTGGTTCCCAGTCCTTGCAGCCAATAGCATTGGGTGCCCAAAGTCCAGCTGCAAAATCCACCCACCTATGCCCTCTAGGGGACAGGGACTCGCCTTCCATCCAGGCACTCAGGGGCAGCCATCAGCCCCCCACCTTGCTCAGCACATAGCCCCCTACTGCAGCCAGATACCTGTGCCTGCTCCTATCACCCCTATGCAGCCCTGCCAGCCTAGGACTGTAGATGAGAGTCTGCACCACACACTTGGTGACCAATGACCTGACGGAGTGGGGTGCCTCCAGGCACTTACTGGTGGAGCTAAAGAGCTTTGGAACACTTACCCAAGCAGGGCAGACACGGGAGGTGAGGCCTGAGGAGCCGAAGAGTGAAGGAACCAGGAAGCAGAAGCTAATGAGACAAGGAGCACAGGAAGCAAAACTGCGTCAGTTTCAAAGGGTATAGCCACAATCTCTCGGGTTTCAAAGGGTGGAGCCAGGGGCTCTGCAGTTTCTAAGGGTGGGGCCACAGTCTCACTAGCTCGGTTCTGGAGTGTGGGGCTGCCTTTCACAAGTGCCAATGGGATGGGGTCAGATCTGCTGCACAAAGCTGAGGGGGTGGGGCTGCCATGCCCAAAGGGCTGAAGAACGGGACCTGCCGGGGCTGAAGGGGTAGAGTCACCACTCAGATGGACTAGGAGAATGGGGCCATCCAAATCTAAGGGAGCAGAGTTGCCATTCCAGTGGGTATGGAAGGCAGAGCTGAACCCCAGGGTAGAGGGGCCTCCACCCTGAATCCAGAGAATGTGGCCAACATCCAGAGTCTGTAGAGCAGGGCCTAAATGGTCTCAGAGAACACAGGATAATTTTCAAGTCGTGAGAGCTAATGTAATGCGTTCTGCTGACTTGCTTGGTGCTTATTATTCCTTCTTTCCCTCCAATTTTTTCCATTTGTAATGGAAATGTCTTGCTTGTGCCTTCCTGTTCCACCACTGTACTTTTGAAGCAGATAACTTGTATTCTAGATTTCACAGATGAAGAGGAATTTTTGGATTTTGGACTTGGAGTTGAATTAAGACTTTTGTTATGATATGATTGAAGTTGTCAAGGATTTCATTTTACTTGGAACCACAATCAACACCCAGCAGTCAAGAAATCAAACAACTCATTTAAAGTATTAAAAAGCAAAGATGTCACTTTAAGGACTAAGGTGTGCCTGACACAAAACATGATATTTTCAATCACCTCATATACATGTGAAAGCTAGGCAATGAATAAGGAAGACAGAAGAAGAATTGACTCATTTGAATTACGGTGCTGGTGAAGAATATTGAATATACCATGGGCTGCCAAAAGAACAAAGAAATCTGTCTTAGAAGAAGTACAGCCAGAATGCTCCTTAGAAGCAAGGATGATGAGACTTCATCTCACTTACTTTGGACATGTTATCAGGAGGATCAGTGCCTGGAGAAGGACATCATACTTGGTAAAGTAGAGGGTGAGCAAAAAAGAGGAAGACTCTCAACGAGATGGATTGACACAGTGGCTGCAACCATGGGCTCAAGCATAAAGACGATCATGAGGATGGCACAGGACCGCGCAGTGTTTCGTTCTGTTGTACATAGAGTCACTATGAGTTGGAACCTACTCAATGGCACCTAACAACAGCATGATGTGGTGAATGTGTTTTATGTGTGGCAAGGACATGAATTTTTGCAGGCCAAAGTGTGGATGTTATGGATTGAACTGTATCCCCCAAAAAATGTGGGTCCACTTGGCTAGGCCATGATTCCCAAGACTGTGTGATTGTCCACCATTTTGTCATCTGATGTGATTTTCCTATGTGTTGTAAATCCTATCTCTATGATGTTAATGAGACAGGATTAGAGGCAGTTATATTAATGAGGCAGGACTCAATCTTCAAGATTAGATTGTACCTTGAGTCAATCTCTTTTGAGATATAAAAGACAGAAGTGAGTAGAGAGACATGGGGACCTCATATTACCAAGAAAGCAGTGTCTGGAGCAGAGCGCATCCTTTGGACACAGGGTTCCTGAGCTGAGAAGCACCTAGGCCAGGGGAAGATTGATAACAAGGACCTTCCCCCATGTCTTAGGCTGGGTTCTCTAGAGAAGAAAACCAGTGAAGTGTATAAATATATATATAGAGAGAGATTATATCAAGAAACAGCTCACGTGATTGTAGAGGCTAGAACGTCCCAAGTCTGTGGATCAGGGTAGAGGCCTCTCCCAAGTCACACAGCTGCAGAAGCTGGCAAGCCCAAGATCAGCAGGTCGGAGAGCAGGGCTCCCGATCACAGGCTGTGCAGATCGACGAATCCCAGGTTCAGCAGATAAGCTGACAGCTCAAGTCCCAAGAATGGGAGATGAGACAACAGGAAGCAGCCGCAGGATCCAGAGAGAGCAAAAAGCCAGAAAGTCTGCTTATATACAGATGCGGGCCACACCTCCAAGGAGACTCCCTTTCATCTGATTGGCTACTCACAGTATATTCTATCATGGGAGTGATTACATTAAAACACTGAGAATCATGGCCCAGCCAAGTTGACACACAAGCTTAACCATCACACCCCAGAACTGACAGAGAAAGAAAATCTTCTCCTAGAGATGGCACCCTGAATTTGGACTTCTAGTCCCCTAAGCTGTGAGAGAATAAATGTCTCTTTGTTAAAACCATTCAGTTGTGATATTTCTGTTATAGCAGCACTAGATAACTAAGACAATAGTTCACAAAGAAAATGTTCTACATCTTACTTTGATGAGTAGCATCTAGGATCTTAAAAGCTTTCTAGTAGCCATCTAAGATACACCTGTTGGTCCCATCCCAAAGAAAAGGGAATGAAGAAAGACAAAGACACAGGAAATATTAGTCCAAAGGACTAATGGATCACAAAAACCACAGCCTCCACTAGCCAGAGACCAGAAGAATTAGATGGTGCCCAACTACCACCACCAGCCTCTCTGATAGGAATCACAATAGAGGATCCTGGACAGAGCAGGAGAAAAATGTAGAACAAAGTGCAAATTCACAAAAAACAAACAAAAAAAGACCAGACCTACTGCTCTGACAGAGACTGGAGAAGCCCCCAAGTCTATGGCTCTCGGACAACTTGCTAACTCAGAACTGCAGCCACTCCTGAAGTCCACCTTTCAGCCAAAGATTAGACAGGCCTATAAAACAAACAATAGCACAAGTGAGGTACGTGCTTCTTAGTTCAATCAAGTATATGAGACCAAATGGGCAATGCCTGCCCAAAAGCAAAGACAAGAAGGCAAGAAGGGACAGGAAAACTGGACAAATGGACACGGGGAACTTGAGGTGGAAAGGGAAGGGGGGAGAGTAATGATACAATGCAGGGGTTGCAACCAATGTCACAAAACAAGTTGTGTATGAATTTTTGAATGAGAAACTAATTTGCACTGTAAACTTTCACCTAAAGCACAATAAAATTAAGAACTCTTTTTTGAACCCATTAATAGATTAGCAATTCAATCTCTAAGTTAAAATTATATTGAAGAAAATGCAAGTTGAATTTTAGTCTCAGAGAAAAGGAAATCTCCCTTTCTGTGTAGAATCCAAGCAATGGAAAGGATTTAGCTATCACCTGGCCCAATCTTTTCATTTTACAGATGAGTAAACCAAGGCCATCAACTTTGTGTGACTTGGTGCAGAAATACCAGGAGAGCAATGGGAGTCCAAGTCTCTTGTCTTCTCAGCATGGGAAGCTCTACCACCTGGTTCTACCTTGTCTTTCCATTCATACTCTACCTTCCTATCCTCAGTCTTGGCCTCTGAGGGTGGGGTATCAATGGAAAGGCAAGGTGGAACCAGATGGTAGAGCTTCCCATGCTGAGAAGACAAGAGACCTGGACTCTTATTGCCCTGTAGACCTCAGACCAGACGCAAATTGTTCTAATGTCATCCTCAGGAAGTCTATCTCTCAACCCTGACTTACTGCTTCTCTGGCACTTCTGTCCCCTGATTCTGTGGCTTGGGGATTCAGATTTCATTGCTTGCTTCAGGCCCTCATCCTCCTTCTTTGAGAAGACCCGTATCCACTCCTTCCTAGGGCCTTCTGACCTCAGTACTTCCAGCCTGCTTGCATCAGGACACTGCTTGCTCCCAAGACTCTGACCACTAAGAGGTCAGCTCTCTGTTGGGCTTTAACACTTATTTTTCAAAAGACTGCTATCAGGGACATGGCTGTGGCAGCATGCTTGTCCGTTTTACCATTCTTGCCTATTCTGTAGTGTTCTTTGGACTTGGACAGACATAGCTGTAGCAGCATTCTTGCCCATTTTCCCACTTTTGTCTGTTCTGTGATATTTCATTGGACTCAGGCAGACATGGCTCTGGCAGCATTGCTGTCCGTTTCCCACCTTTGCCTTTTAAAATATATGCTGAATAAAACTTTCTTTTTGCTTTAAAAAAAAAAGATTGCCATCAATATGAGAAAGTTACTTTCTGAGTACAAAAGGCGAGTGTAACAGTGATTTGATAGCCTTGTGAATTGTCACTAACAGACCATAGCGTGCTGATGCACTCTTTACCATTTTTGTGACACACGTCTAGAAGGAATTGAAAGGATCATCTAAGCCAATCAGAGTATACGATTATTTTATGAAATTTCAGAGAGCTATACATACATGTACAAGGAGCCCTAGTGGCACGATAGCTAAGCACTCAATTGCTAACCAAAAATTGGTGGTTTGAACCCACTCCGCAACTCCATGGGGGAAAGACCTGGCAATCTGCTCCCATAAAGATTACAGCCTAGAAAACTCTATGGGTCAGTTCTACTCTAACATATAGGGTTGCTATGAGTTGGAATTGATTCTATGGCACCTAAGTATACATAGGCTTTTATGTATATGATACTTGAATATGATTTTAAAAAATATATCTACCCATTTTATTGTGAATCCCAACAGAGACTTTGTATCTTGTTAATAATGATTTTCTTCATCTGTTTTAAAGTTCTCTCTGTGACAGGTTTGTTGAAAGCAGAATTTGTTTTGTTAACACTTTATTGATTATGCTACTAGCATAGTGCATTGTTCAGCAAATATTAAATGGATTGGATATAAAAAATTTTGCATAAGTCCCATAATAATGACATTCTATTAATACCAAGTTGATCATGAACAATACCACCCTTCCTCAATAAGCAACAAGTCACACTGAGATCAATCAGAATTCAAGCTGACAACGTTGTGTTACTCACATGAGGATCCTTGGGCTCAAGCCTCTGATTTTGTGAGCATGGAAGACACACAATATTACATAATGAAATATTCAAGCAGAAGAACAGAATGAGCTTTCTTTGTAGACACTTCTCTGAGGTTAGCTTGAAGTACAG